CCCCCCCCCCCCCCTTTCTGAGAAATATCAGCGCCAGTTTTCGACCAGGAAATTTAATCTAATTTGACGGTATCTTTTTTTAAAACTTGTGTTGCTCATGGCATGATATCACAGTGCAGGTCTGGACCATTCCTTTTCTTTTTTTTTCTTTTTTTTTCTTTCTCAAAAATATATTATTTTTACAGAGGAGTCAGTAGAAAACTATTATGCATGGCAATTAATTTTGTAGGTTACGTACTGCATCTAAAACCTATTTATTTGTTTTAATAGGTTAATATTAAGTTAGGACAGTCAGGATAGGACATTACATGACAGGACGATAGGACAGGACAGGATAGGGCAGGGCAGGGCATGCAGGATGATATGATATGATATGGTATGGTATGGTATATTCATACAGTTCATACAACAAACAGAATGGTCTATAGACTATATCGATAGATTGGTGTAGTAGAACATATTGAGAGAATAGTCATTGTCATTGCCCAAGTTTAGTTTCAGATTGGTTAAACAAACTCCTACAGACGGACCCGGGACAGTAGCTAAAATAATTCACGCAACAAACTCAACTAATAATCCAGCAAACCCTTATGTCTTCAAGAGTCTACAGCCAACGGAGGTCTGCTCGCCGCCAAATTACACTGCCTCATGAGCCGCACCTCACCCTCCGCAAACGCTCCTACAACACTGTGCAGCACACCATGGTTATTAAACAGCACCAGATCGCCCTCTTCCCACTCATGCGCGTAGACATACTCCGGGCTGATTCCCGGCCGCTGCAGGCGGTACACGATCTCACGCACCTGCGCCAAATCGTCGATGACGCTTCCGTCCTGCAGGTGGATGCGTCGTACGGCAGACGGGTGGATCTGCAGCGCCAGCTGGCCCGTGACGGGGTTCTTCCATGCCATGGGCAGGATCTGGATCTTGTTCGCGTCGATGGCTGGGAGCTCTGTCTCGGACAGCTCGCGGCCTTCGGTGTACAGGCCCAGTCCTGTCGGGAGCGAGCGGGCCCGGCTCATCCAGATGTACGGATGCGGCGCGTACTCGATCTTGCTGGTGCGGACGAATTCCTTGTCCTCGTCTGACAGACGGTCGTACATCTGGTACCCGCTCACGAACGCCGTCGTGCCCAGCGAGACGTCCAGCTCGTCGCCGCTGCCGTCGTCGTACCGCACCGTCTGACGGCGCTTGGTAGACGGCAACGACACGGCCAGCAGGCTGGTCACCAGCGGCGGGTTGAGGGCGTACAGCGCAGCGTCGATGTGCCAGCGGTAGAAGCGCGTGAATAGGAGATCGTCCTCCGCGGGGATGGCATCACGATGGAACGTGCGGTGGTGCGGATGCCGCAAGACGAGATTCTGTAGGCCCTCGTAGCTGGGGACAAAGCCGTGGCCGAGGATCTGCACCTGGGGCTGGTGCGGCACCGTCTTGAGATCGGGATGCAGCACGCTGCGCTTGGCGTCGAGAGTGGTAGTGCTGCCATGGCCGTAGCTGGTTGCAGTTGGGTCGAAGCGTCGCGTCAGCTCGTACTGCGCTTTGACGGAGAGGTTGGGCGAGCTTTTGATCACGACGACGTTGTATCGGTAGACAGCGTCGTGGATGAGGTTGAAGTCGTCGTCTGAAACCAGTCAGAATGCTTCTCATCACCTATCACCCATGCCTGATGAAACCTTACCTCAGGAGGTTACCGCTCCCCGGAGTGCTCCCTTGTATATACCTCTATGCCCGTATACTATACCAGTCCTAAGACTTCGACTTACCCGTCAGGTTCTCCACGTCGACGCCCGTGATGGCAGCCCCAAAGTTGATCTTTGATCCTTCCGGGAGGGGAAGAGGCTGGACGGTAATACCCATTTTTCGAGGATATTTTAATGTACAGTACGTGTAGTCGAATTGGTTGATATGTCTCCGTTTTCGCTGATCTTGATCTGCTCAGAGAGTGAATTATAAAAAAAAGTCTGATTGTTCAGGGCAGCTTTTAAAATAGAGGATGCGGCGGAGACCGCCGATGGATTGAGTTCAGCAACTTTATCAGCGCGTGTTATCAGGTAAGCTGATGACGAAAGAATCAATCGATGATATTACTATTAATATTACTACTAACTACAGTCGCCTCTCGCTATAACGATACAATCCCGGCAACTGAAATTTATCGCTATAACGAGATATCGCTAACGTATTTCCCGGCTGTTTCGATCACCCGGTTGCTCCGATCACTAGAATACCCATACAAAATGCGTTTTTTTGTACGCTCATACCACAATGTCTATATTATATCCTGGCCTTTAATTTTAAAATCAGATTATATATAGGTATAACTACTTGTAAGAGAAATATAAGGTTAGTATTATATATATTGCTTTTTAGATACCTAATTTTTTAATTTTACATAAAAATTACACTGTATTTTATATTATTCCAGTAAATAATAGAGTAGACTACTTCTGATTAATGCTGTATGCTGTAAATACTTTATAATTATAGTATATAAAATATCTCTTTAATATCTTTAAAGCTTGTTGAGGTATGAGCGTAACAAAAAAACGCATT